GACTATTGAATCGCTTTGTTTGGTTGTAGAATGTATTGATTTATCGTTCACAAAAACAAAATTTCTTAAGTTTTTTGTCGATGAGAAATTGCGATATCACTAGAACTATGGGCCTAAATAAACAACAAACGTAATGGGTTTTATATGATAAAGCAAATAAAATAACTTAAGAATTTTAAATAACCCGGCCCAGGACACATTACTTTGATCATTTTTTTTTGTCGGCCATTACTCGATCATATAAAATGAAGAGATTCCAAATATTCTTACACTGAAGTTACAGAAATACCCTTGATTCCTTATATGTCCAAACCGATTGATTGGTAGAGAGAATAATAAAAAGTATTAAATTCAAAATAAAAGAGATGAAAAATGTTTTATTAATAATATTTTTTTCTCAGCAAACAAAAAATGGTGGAAGATGATACGAGTGAGTGATGTTGCATACCTCACAAAAGAAAAGCGCATAATAGCAAAATGACTACTTTACGCCCATTTTTCTTTTTGGTTTTTAAACTCTTAAATCTTTTTGATATTTACATGAAAACAGAATAATTTAAGCATGTGATTATAAAAGGAAACTTACCGTATCAGCTTCTATTAATGCAATTTCTACGTTACATTTTCAGAGTTTTTAAAATTAAATAGTTGTGTTTTCGTAAATGTGGGTGGCCAAAGAGCTCCCCTCACGATTATGATCTCTTCTTTGTACTTATTATTCAATATGGTGTGCGTAATATAATATTAATTTTATTTTATGGACATGGGATACATACTAGGAGTGGATTTGGAATTTTATGCCACATGAATAATCATTGGAGATGCAAATCAAATGAAATGAAGGCTGCACAAAATGATGAATATTCTTGATTTATTCTCTTATGATGTTTTATGTCTCCCATTGTAATAGCCACATCATCATTAACCATTAATGTCTCATTGATGCACCCTCCCTCAAATAATGAAATAAACGACTAGTTCAATATATTAGTGTAGAAGAAAAAA